ACAAATTTCCTGGAGATCTAGATTCCTTAACCACTGAAAACATCAGCCCCTTCCTCGATTCTCTTTCCACTTGCTTAGAACCCATCTATTCTCTCCCCTCCATCGATGATATGGTTGAATGCCTTTCCTCCAACCTCCTCGATTTTCTCAATTGTCACGCACCTCTAAAAACACGTGTCTTTAGACGTCCCCCCGCTCCTTGGATCAATACAGAAATAAGAGAACTGATGAGGAGAAGAGAAACTGCTAGAAGACGATACAGACGTACTAGACTAACTCAGCATTATTCCACATTTAAATCCCTACGAAATCTCACACAAATGACCCTACGTCGCGCCAAAGCCCAATACTTCAATAATGTTTTATCCCAAGAACCTAACCCTAAATTCAAACGGAAAATCCTTAAGAACCTCTCTGTTGTTACCTCGAAAACCTGCACACAGTATACAATCGATCCCAACACGCTAAATTCTTTTTTCACTAACCATTTTCTATCCACATCTCCATCTGTCCGCTCATCTTTTTCCATTACCGAAACCCCCTTTGATCCTGATAAGTTTTACTATCTCGACATCTCTCCTACTGACCTGCTCTCAGCCACCCTTAAATCCAAAACGAATGATTATGGTCCCGACCAAATACCTGTTAAAGTTATCAAACTCTGCCTCCCAGCTTTACTACCCGCACTTCTACACATATATAACTTCTCTCTCCAAAATTCCATTTTTCCCAAATCCTGGAAAAGAGCCAGTCCGTCCACTGAACAAAGTTCCAACTCCTTCATCAGCTTCCGACTTCAGACCCATCTCCATCCTATCCAATCTATCCAAGCCTCTAGAAAGATTAGTTCACTCTCAGTACAACAGCTTTCTCGAGCAAAACCATCTCCTCAATCCCTTACAATCTGGTTTCCGATCCCAGTATTCCACCCAGTCTGCATTGCTAAGGATTACCCAAGACCTCCAATCCGCCATATATAAACAGAAAATCTCCATCCTAATTCTTTTAGACTTTTCCAAGGCGTTTGATTCCGTTAATCATGAGATCCTTCTTTCCAAATTTCAAAGCCTGCCCATGTCAAATAGCGTCCTAAAATGGTTCCTATCTTTCTTATCCAATCGATCTCAGACAGTTACAATACCGAATAAACCTCCATCATCATCACTTCAATTAACGCGAGGTGTTCCTCAGGGTTCCTCACTCTCCCCGACCCTTTTCTCCATCTATATTAGTGACCTTCCTAACGCCATTCAACACTCCAATTACCACCTATATGCCGATGATTTCCAAATACACCAATCATTCCAACCTTTTGAGATGCCTGAGGCTGCCCGGAGGCTACAAGAGGACATCGAATGCACCAACAGATGGGCAGAAATTAATGGATTAAAGCTGAATGCAGATAAAACCAAGGCTATTATCATCGGGTCCAGACATCTCATCAGCTCCCTTCCTTACTTTTCTCTACTTTACCTCAATAATCCCATCCATTTTTTCCCTACAGTCAAAAACCTAGGAGTAACCTTTGACCAGAACCTCTCCTGGGATAATCATATCTCCCAGATTACCCGAAAATCCATAACTGCCCTTAAACAACTCCTAAGATTCCGTGATTGTATTCCTCTAAAAACCATACAGCACCTTGTAACCTCCCTTGTATTCCCCCACTTCGACTACGGCTGCTTGGTGTATGGAGGGCTATCTGCCAGGCTGGAAATGAGACTAAAAAGACTCATGAATTGTTTCATTAGATACATTTTCGGGATCCCCAGACGTTCACATGTTTCACTATGGTACACCGAGTTGAAATGGCTTTAGCCTACTTTCCGACTACAATTCCTTCTTGGCGTTTTCTTTTTCCAAGTCTTCAGAACTAAAAACCCTCCCTACATCCTGGAACTCCTTACTCTGCGCTCCTCTATCCACTCTCTCAATACAAGGTCTCAACCTATAGACTTATATATTCCCTCCCATAAAACTTCCTCCTTCAGCAAATCCTTCGTCACTCGTGCTGCTTATGGAACTCACTTCCTACCCCCATGCGTCAATCCTCATCCACAAATTCCTTCAAACAACTCCTGTTCCAACACCTACTCCACATTCAAACTTCCCCTAACATGTAAAATTACTTGCATCTATACAATGTTTAATTTCAATCCATTGCACAATTGAAATAACAATTAACAATAAATTAGTTGGTATTTTTATTATGTCAGACTAAGATACATAAATTTGTAACTCTGTTATTATTCTTAGGGGACAGTAGTCCCAGAATAAAATAATTTTTTCGCTTCATTTCATTTCATCAATGGTTATTCCAAGATTTTTGATGGTGGGGTGAAATTTGATGGGATTATTGTGTAGGAACAGAGTTGGAATATTAGGGACAGTTTTAAGGAGGTGATTAGAGCCTATTAAGATTGCCTTTGTTTTATCTGCACTCAACTTCAACTTGTTTGTTTTTTCCCAGTCACAAATTCCATCTAAGTCTTCTTGAAGTTTTTCTGTGGCAGATAATGGGTTGGAAGGTGGAAAGGAGAGGTATATTTGGAAATCATCTGCATAGATGTGGTATTGAGAGTGACGGATCAGGAGGGGAAGGTCATTGATGTAGATAGCAAACAGAGTAGGAGAGAGAGAGAGAGGAACCCTGGGGACACCACAGGAGAGGGGAAGTGTGTTTGAAGGAGGTTGATCTGGGACTACTACGTACTGGGATTGATTTGAAAGGAAGGGCTTGAACCAACGCAGGACACTGTTGGATAGAGGAAGATTTTGCAATTTGGTAAGAAGGATGTTATGGTCAACTGTATCAAACGCTTTGGAAAAATCTAGAAGGATGAGGATAGTAAGGTTTTGGTGTTCAATAGAGTTTTGGAGGTCATGGGTTATTTTAAGGAGGGCAGATTGTGTTGAATAGCCGGGTCGGAATGGGTTGATAAAGGAACGTTTCTCTAGGAAGTTTGAGAGCTGATTTTGGGCAAGGCGTTCTAGCGGCTTTGAGGGGTTGGATAGGAGAGAGATAGGACGGAAGTCGTGCAGTGAGGTAGGATTGGCAATTTTATTCAAAGGTCGGACTAGGGCGGTTTTCCCGGAGGATGGGAATATGGAGTTTTACAATGAAAAATTGTAGATATGATAAAGAACAGGATATGATAAGGTCAGGAAGGCTGGACATTATATCCACCATAAAGTGGGGAAAGGTAAGATAGTTGGGTCATGTGCTATGAATGGAACATGGCAGGCTCCCTAAAATGATGATGGAGGGATATACGGGTGGAAGAAGGAAAAGAGGCAGAGCTAGACTTCATTCTCTTGAAGATGTTGGAAATGACCTAAGAAGCCTGGGTGTAAGGGCCGAAAACTGATCGGTTTGGAGGAACATTGTAGAGTAGGCCAAGGTATAGTGCCATCAGATGATGATGATGAATAAAAGGCTATCTATGACTTAGGTCTTATCTAGTTATAAAGAAATTTATTTGAAATATCCATTGACAATACATTTCTTCAGATGTGGATACAAAAAATATTTATAAAAATTAAGTGTCATGTTTTAATTTAAAAATTATGTTTGTTTTTTTTTAGCCCAATTTTAAGCAAATTAGGAGCTGCTTCTCTTTAGCTGAGAGAATTTTTTTTATTGCTTATTTTTGTGGCGTGGATTTATATGCAGCAAAAATCATTGACATATTCTGTTTAAATTTTTTAAAAAGTACGATAATATATAGCAAAAAAAGGCCATCTAAAATATGCAACCAAATAGTAACAGAAGATAATAAATATAAAATATTGAGGTATAAAACTATTTAAAAAAATATATATTATGTTATATTTAACTATAAATGAATGATTCATATTTACATATTTCATACTTATGATTTTTGTATTATTATGAAAGTTATTATAACTTCTAACACCAACTTCCTAATAGGGACCCCTAAGACGGGTTAGTTTTTATTTTTTCTTAATGAAATTATAACTTAATGCAAAAAAATTGCATACATTTTTTCAGTCGAGAAAGTAGTTGCTTTAATAACAACTTATTTTTTTAATTTAAATTATTTATTTTTTTAAGGACCCTTAAAAATTACTCTGCCCCAAATGGAATAAATACCCTACTGAGGGGACCGAATCGTTTAGTTTTAAGAAAAATAATGCAAATTATTTAAATATTGGTATATTGATACATATATATTGATATATTTGTTGATGAGTGATATTATACTATACAAAATGTTTTTGATTTGTTCTCCACTCTTAGGATTTTTCTAAGAAGAATTTCCAAATTAAGTTTCCAATCCAAAATAAAAGTTGAAGGGTCAGCTGAGCATCTCAGTCCCACATTCTGAACTATATTGACATGAGAAATCTAGGTTTGTATGAAAGATCTAATGTGTTTATAAACTTGAGGAGAGCCGGGTTCTCGATTCGGTTTAAACCATTCTATGGAGTATAAGCACCACCACCTGTGGAGACAAGGCGGTACTTAGCTCGAAAAATAATGGAAGAAAGTTCTTTAAAAAAGAGAAAATTAATTGAAGAAATTAATGTTTATTTTGTAATTAGCAAAATGTTGAAACACTAACAACCAATCTTTTTCTATTAATAGCATTTTAGAAATTTGTTTTTAATATTTGTTACTATTTTATTTTTAATTCTTTTCAGACTGAAGGGATGAGGGCAGCTGCTCCATCTTAGTTAGCAGCCTTTGGATAAGCCAATACATATCGTTGCATATGTAAATACCATAATTTTTTCTCTGAGATTATTATACTTTTGCCAGCAAAACGACCAAGAAAAAATTATATTTGCAATTTTCATTGATTGGTAGCTAAAATTAATATTTTAGCCAACATTTTAATCAGGATAATAGAGATCACCTCGATGAGTTATTAGTGATATTTAGTGGACAAATGCATCGTTAATTGATGAATTACACTTTTCTTGCACAGTTAATCAAATCTCATAGCTATAATCTGAATATATAAAAAATGTCAAATGGTTATCAAAGGGAGAATTTTATTAGAATTTGAACCACTGTTCCTTTCCCAGATATGCTTTTTTTCTTCTTTCCTCTAAAATTTTAATTTTCAGGAGGAAAGTCGCTGCTGGTTGTGTACAATGTTCAATATCATGAGATAAATCTATTATCTTTGCGCCCAGATAGTAGTGCTGTGCAGATGATATTATGTCCGGAACATCCTGCAACCTATCTTCCTTTTCACCAACTGTAATTAAAAAGCTTTCTCTTTCAGCTGAGCAGCACCTGCAAATGAAACATAATAGAGTTATTAAAATATACATCTTTTTAAATAAAAATAAAATGTAAATGGCATTATGGCTTTAAATTTAATATATGTATGTTGTGGCCAACAGTAAAAATTATAAGTATGGTGTAAATAATTGTATATATATGTGTATATGTGCATGTGTGTCTCAATAGGTACACTTAATATTACAAATAAATAGTCTGCTTTAAATTGTATATTAAAGGGCTAAGTGGGCGCCCAGTCTTAATGCCAAGACTAGTCTTGCTTATGTCATGCCATAAGGACCATTTCTAGAGCTCTATTATGAATCTTATTTTATTTTACCCATATCTGGGACATTGTTACCCTCCATCAGGGGTGCCCATCCTGCCGAAGTTTGAAGGCACAAGAACCTTCCACTTCCCTATTCCAAAATATTTTATTTCTCTCCTCTTCTTAACACTGCAAACTAAAGTAAAATTAAAAAGGTTATAATCATATACAATCATAATTACTGCGGTCGGTCCCCTGTTTTTCTCTTGTTTTTAATTTGAAACTTTCCATTCCGAAAATTCATGACCCTGCCGAATGTGCCCCTCTCAAAAAATTAATACCCTGTCAAAATGTGAGCCCTCAAAAATTTTGATGGCGCAACTTGCGCCATGAAACCGCATTCTGTGCACCCTTGCACTCCACGAGGAAACCGTCAACTGCATCACGGCGAAGTTAAAAGGGCAATATGACTGGCCGACTATAGCTATATTGTTGTATTTAATTTATGAACATTATAAGGTGAGTGGCGCCCCCTTAACAGACATTTCAGACCCCATAGACCTTCAGTTTTAACAAGTGAAATGAATAACATTACTTTTAAGTAATTTTAACATCTCACGTTGTAGTTGAACTTTCCTTATACCTTACTTCATGCTAATCACTCAGAGCGATATCATAGTGCAGTGACTAGGGTACACTTCCCATATTGATTAGGATTCGGGTTCATGACTGAATTCACCATAGCCCTTTTTTTTTATTTTTATTATATAAAAAATGTAATTTAAACTCTTATACATTTATTACGGCTTTCTGAAATATTATTTTAATTACAATTAATTTAACAATTAAATTGATTCATTTTTCAAATAATTAATTATAAAACATTAATAGAATTTGTAAGATTAATTTCTAAGGTTTCTTTTTTATGTTTACTGTTTTAAAGTGGTTTTTATTTCTTTCATTGTTTGATGATTGTTATTTTGTATTGGGGAACATATTTAATTAATTTGAATTTATTTTATGGCATATATCATTTCAATTATTTTTTTTAATATATAATTTTCTGCTATTCGGCATTTCATTTATCCTCAAGGATTTATTAATTTAATATTTTTAAAATAAATTAATATTGCAAGGCACCAATGCTTATGGATAAGGTTGAGCAGGATTGGTGTTTACATTTGAATGGCCACTGCCGCCACAATATAAATATTAGAATTTTAATGTAAATTTAGAGGACATTTCGAAATATTATTTACATATTGATAAAGTGTAAAATTTATAAAAAATGTGCCAGAGTGATTTTTTAAATTTAATATATATTTATTTCGGTTTAGTATTGTTATTATACATTTAAGGTTATCTGAAAAATATATAAATAATCTAATAGCCTTAAAAAAACCTGAACTCTAAATTTCAAAAAATGGCTTTTTATGAAACTAACATCCAGCAGTGTACGGAGATTGCGTCATGTATATTACAGGGTTTAATAAAATTTGTTAACATTTCATATTCTTCATAACTGCGTTGCAGTTTTTTTTTTAACTGTTATTACAACCTAGTAACACTGTTAACATTTTTATTTACCTTATTTAAACATATAATCATCATGCGTTCGCTAGATGAAAATATATTGTTCAATTTAGTACTATTCATTTACATGTAATTTTAACGAGGCTTGAAATCGTAAGGAGTATATAGTGAAGTGATAAATAACAGGTAAAGGCTTTAAACACTCAGCTGGTGTAAAGAAAGAGGTTGTCTAAAATGTGTTCGTCACTACTGCATTTATTTACACCTTTTTATATCTTCTTTTTATGGTTCTTTAAAATATATTTTATTTTTATCATTAATTTTCTTTATTATTGGGTTTTCCGTAAAATAATGCAGAATTTTCGTTTAAAAAGAAAAAAAAATATTTACAACTGTTTTATTTAATCAAGATGGTCTTCACAATTTCTGCCAACGTGTTGGCAACTTTTCCATTCCCTCGGAATAGAATTTCCCATATTTAGAATTGATAAATTCCAAAAACGCATTTTCTAATTCCCTTTGTCCATTATTTTTTTTGTCACGTAAGTAGTGGGGTCCAGTTGTCTAAAAAGATGATAATCCGTAGGCGAGAGGTCCGGCGAGTAGGGCGGATGTGACAGTTTCATATCCAAACTCGAACTACTTTTGTGACGTCACACGTGAGACATTTGTCCGGGCGTTGTCATTTAACAAAATAAGCCTCTTTCGATCGACCAAAGATGGCTTGATTATTGCTAATTTGTGGTGCATTGCATTAATTTGGTTACAAAACAATGCGGCATTGGTATTTTTCCCCGTATTTAAGAAGCTGAAGTGTATCAAACCAAATGAAGCCCAATAAACAGTAACCATAAACTTTTTTTTATGATTTGGAGACTTTGGAAAATGTTCCGCTGCTTCTCCTTTGTCGAGCCACTTTCCAGAACGTCTACTGTTATTTACCAATTCGTTTTTGTTTCGGAAAAGAAGTTTAGCACAGACTTGATTACGCTGTTTATTTTGGCGGTCGTTTAATGTGTGTGGAATCCAACTTTCAAGCTTTTATACCTTTCCAGTCGCCTTGAGGCGGCATCGACGGTCGATTTGCTAAGGTTAGTTTTCCTGCAAGTTCTCGAACAGTTGTTTTGGTTTTTTTTTCACCAAAGCTCGCAGAACATCTTCTTCCAGGCTAAACTCTCCCTCCCGAAATTTTTTGAACCACAATCGAACAGTACACTGATTAATACTACTCTCGCCCCAGACTTGATTGATGTTTCTAGCCGTATGGGGACCCATTCTGGCCGAGTTTAAACTCGTAAAACAAAATTATACAAAAATCACGCGTTAACATCTTAGTGAAGACTGAGTTATTTCTAAGCAGCGAAATGCTACAGAGGTAAATAAACATTATCATTAGGAACAGGATTAATAAGTGTTGACATTCATACAAATGAATAATCCAGTAAACGTAAACAATTTGCTATATAGAGAGATATTTTAAAGAATGCTCCTGTTTTTATAGGCAGAATGTAAACACCCACTGCCTCTGATGCTGTCCCGGAAGTAAGAACGGGAGGAAATAGGACAAAGTGAGGAGCAGTGGCATGGGATGAATACGAGATATAAAATAAGCAAGGAATAAAGCCAGTAAAAGTCACAGTGCACTGGAGGAACCGCGGATGGAGAGCTAAGAGGTTTGGGCTGAAGCCCACCAAATAGCTTTTTTTTTTCATTGTTCCATACGAGTGTTTTGAGCTAAATACCTATGCAATCACATCATGTACAATTTTGTAATTAATAAGGCATATAAAGCTACTAAATTTAACAATTAATAATAAAAAAAAAAGAAAAGATTAATGGATCCGCTACTGTCACATTGTGATTGGCCAAGAACATGAAACTGGCCTACCTAAGAGTACTTGATACGTTCAGTTTGTTCCAATTTAGCTTACCAGTTAATGTCAGTATCAGTGACAAAGTATCAGATTGATGCATCCCAACTCATCTCTATTTCTTACTAATACTTACAGAGGGCATATGGTTTCAAAGTTAGTTCTATAAAAGTTAAATATTCTTAAGATTTCTGGGTTGATTTTTGCGTGGACAGAAAAATTGATCAAACGCGTTAGTTTCTTTTTTTCCTCTCGTGCTTTCCTCACCTTGGCCCACATTTGACGTTGTCGTTTTGTTGTTAACGAATTTCTAATGGAAAGGAACATACGGTAGAATTTAAATTCATCCTTCAAACACCTTTCCTTGTTCCCGCCTATCATTCTGTGATGAATCCCTGAAATAAAACACAAAATACTTTTTTAAAAATTATATTATATAACAAATTTATTATGTAATATGTAATGATTATTATGATTATTTATCATCCTCATACTTAAAAAAACAACAGTAAAAAAAAAATCTATATCTAAATTATACAATATATATATCTTGGAGTTTTGGCAATGGCCAGATTATCCACTCACGACATGAGTGTATGTGGTACTAAAGCATTCACGCTCAATCTCCACTGTGTTTAGCCCCGGTGGCGCGGTTGAGAGAGTAGTGCAGATATCTCCTGGAGTTGTTCCCTCCACAGTTGGTATATAATGTATATAGAGACGTATATGGTAGTAGTATATATAGAGACGTATGTGTTTTTGTTTTTATTTATTTATTTTTAAGTTATTTTATTCTTATTTATTGTATATATATATATATATATATATATATATATATATATATATATATATATATGTATATATATATATATATATATATATATATATATATATATATATCTGCTTGATTGATTTTTATTTATTGTACATATAGTATGAATGTGATCTCTGAACAATAATATAAATGTACTTTCAGACAGATTGTAATATTTCTCAATAAACAAATTCTAAAAAAATAAGTTCTCGCAAATTAATAACCGACTTCATGCCATATTTAATGTAAATCAACCAGAAACAGAAAATTATATAATATCTAATTTAACCATTTTAACCATATTTTTCATCAATACACCATTATTTTTAATACCCCTCCAATAATACGGTAGGTAAATACTATGTGCATACATATATATATGTTAATCTGACTGATTGCGAAATATACCTAACAGAACTACTTAAGTGCCACCAGAGACTATTTCTGTTTATTTATGTTATTTTAGTTTCCTTTGGTGTTTTATATACCTTATATGTACGCTATTCTTTTCTTTTTCTGTCTCTTTCTTCCGTATTTTTACTTTTAATTAACTATGATTGTAAATATTTAATTTATTTATGACCACACAGACATGCATTCTGCACTTATAGGTCTGATGGTACAACAGTTTATTTATTTCAGCAATATTGTACCACATTATTATTAATGTTAAAAAATAGTTTTTAGTAAATGCACATAAATTAATTTACAATGTAATTAACTCATTTATTACTATAATAATTTTAAATAATCTATAATTATATAGGAGTATTCCACAGTAACTAAGAAATAAAAAAAGTAGGAAGTAAAATGATCACTATGTATTATAATATAATGGAGTATTTGATAATGCAATGGTGTATGTATGTGTCTGAGTGAACGTACCTAACATCCCTTTATGATATAATGGTGTCCTTTTGGTTAAGTTAAACATGCTTCGAACAAAAAATTCGAAAAGTCTCTGATCTTCCTGGACACGAAACAGCTTTTTTATTACTAGGATTTCCGCTTCGTATGTGTGTGGCCTGAGCCTTTTAGAGTAGATAAAAAATATGGAGGCTCGAACAGAATATAAGATACTTGAATAAAAAACATACACTATACACTCTGTATAAACCTTCCTCCTTTCCTCGAAATATATTTTCTGAAATAATATTGCCATTAAAATTCAATTAATGTAAACTTAATCATTTATTTTAAAAATTAACTACTTTATAATGTTATTATCTTAGTATTAAATATAGCAAATTGAATACCAATTCGTAATTTAAAAAATTGTTTTTAGTACGAAATAGTATAAATCTTTATTAATGAACATGGGGAACATCAATAACTACTCCAGGTTATATACCATCCTTGATATTCTTACTCAATTTCTACAATAACAGTCTGATCTTATCTGTTAATAATAGTCGATCTCTAGCATATAAATATTTAAAGAAATAAAAATAACACTCAATAATTAATTAATCAATTATTATAAAATCGACTTACACCACATTTCCCTTCAAAGGTTCACTCAACAAATATTAAATATTTAGAATAATGATGTTATGGGAAGATTCCAGAACAAACGCCTTAATTCTCTACAATATAAATTATAAATATATTTGATGAATCGTATTGGAGAGATGTATTACTGCCTCTTATTTAATGATCTATCTTTTTTATTAATTATATTTTGTTTGTCACTACAGACCTTGTAGATATTGTGCTGCACTAACCAGCCTCATCCATCTCTGCCTGTCTTGGGTTATTGCTTTCCGGTTATCTGCATGCACATCTATCCCATCATTGTTGAGTTTATCTATTCATCGAGTTTTTGCCTTTCCACATGGTCTCTTACCTACAATTGAGGCATTCATTGTAGTGTAGAGGCTCCCAGAGAAATTTGCTTCATCGAGTTACATGCCTCGGCTATCTTAAACTCCTTGCCTTTATATATTTCCGACCGTCGGTCACTCATTGAGGTTATTGTTATGCCGTTTCTCTTGAACGTAGATCCTGTTATTGGGGCGGGATTTTCGGCTTGTCATTATTAATAATATCATATAGCAAACCAATTTTTGATACTTTATCAAAAGTTTTAAATAACCGCTTAAATCTTGTAATAAATCATACATTTATTAGCATTATGATTTTATTTACAACAGATTGTGAACAAATTAAAATGAAATTAACACATGTTAATTTTGGCAATGATCAAATTTTTGTCTACAACTACAAAAATTGTGACGACTTCATCATGTCACCACCGATTTACACGAAAATTATTAGGTATGTAGACCTCTATATGCAACACAAAAAACAGGGCCAAATATATAAAATAAAAATGTGGAAGGAGATGTGTTTAGCGAGGGGTTTTAGTTAAAACTGGAAAATCTTGGGTTGAGATCCTTGAGAAAATTTGCTGACCTGGTTGGGGAGCGGTGAGGGGGTAAGTAGTAAAAGCAAAACAAAACTTGGAATATTGAAGTATCTAAAGTTTGAAGATATTGATGGATACAAGAAAAAATACGATATCTATTAACTATTAAATTATAAATATAAACATATATACATATAAAATAGAATTAAGAAATTATAGATAGAAGTACATTGTGAATAAAAACAAAAATGAAAGAAGTGAAACGTACATAGCAGTAACATGTAAATATAAAAATAAGAGACCATATATGCAGAACTAATTTAAAAGTATAGAGTAGAAACAAAAATGAATAGTTATAAATGAATAATGGTAACAATTGTTATAGTGTAGTATATGCTATTATGAATTAGTAAATACTACATATCTCAAGGAGAGATTGGAAGAAAAGAATAAATAATATGAAATAATGGACATAAAGGGATGTGGATAATGAAAATAAAAAATTAAATAAATACCATAAAATAAAAAAATTAATCCTTGTTCTTAACCCTGACATCATTCCTCAAATCCTTTCCTCGTTCAACTCTTACCATCCACATCTTCGTTTCACTATAGAGAAAGACATTACCAAATTATCAAAAACACTGACGTAGAAATATAGCTACTGACTGGTATACTAAACCCACGTACTCCGGCAGACTACTTAACTTTTACTCTGAGGACCAATACCACCAAAAAATCAATACCGCCAAGAACCTTATTCACCGATCTCTCCCTTTGTCTGATCCACAATATCACTATCCAAACCAACACCCAGCATGTCAAAAATATACTCCTTTCCAATAATTTTCCTCTCAACACTATAATTAAACTACAGCTATACAACCAAACTGTAATATTCTTACAATATGTACAACTAATTATAATTATAATTATTCATTTTTGTTTCTACTCTATATTTTTAAATTAGTTCTGCATATATGGTCTCTTATTTTTATATTTACATGTTAATTCTATGTACGTTTCACTTCTTTCATTTTTGTTTTTATTCACATTGTACTTCTATCTATAATTTCTTAATTCTATTTTATATGTATATGTTTATATTTATAATTTATTAGTTAATAGATATCGTATTTTTCTTGTATCCATCAATATCTTAAAATTTTAGACACTGTAAAGCGGACTCTACACGGACTCTATTCGGAAATGCATTCCGAGGCACTAATGACGTTCCGAATTATCGTGTAAGGTAGTGAATGAAGTACTGATGGTGGTGCGCTGCGGATTTCCGAACATCCGGAAATCAAAGGTTCATTCAGGAGAAGTGGAGGGGGGCTGAGGGCTGAGGTACTACTGGATAGGTTAGGTTACCTAGGCCTCACAACCATTATAAATTTCTGATTTTCATTATATGTAAATAGTTAAATAATTTTTCATATCCCTTGTTTATAATTTTAAACCATCTTCAACTATTTCTTTTAAATAGTCAAGTGGGCAACAAATTAAAAAAGAAATAAAAGTGGAAACTTCACAATTTACTTTAAGAAAAAAAAAAAACTTTAACGTTGTGTATATTTATCAGTTCCTTTCCCATTTTCCTCAACAAATTTATTATTTTCGCAATATCTTTCCTTAATTTTTGTAAGTAGTAGACTTATATTTTACTAACTTTAGTCAAAACGATTTTCTATGAGACTAACCTTACTACTAGATAGGTTAGTTTACCTAGGTCTCGTTATTAAGTAAATAATTTCATAAAAGTAAATAGTTGTTTATATCCCTAGTCTATATTATTATTAACCATGTTCAACTATTTTTTCTTTAAATAGTCAAGTAGACAATAATTGAAGAGAAAAAAAAGTGGAAACTTCACAATTTACTTATAGAAAAAAAATCTTTAACTGTTGTGTTTATTTGTCATTAATTTTTTCCATTTTTCTCAACAAATTGATTATTTTCGCAATACTTTTCCTAGATTTTTGTATGTAGTGGACTTATATTTTTCTAACTTTGGTCTTAATGATTTTCAGGCACTAGGAAGTAATTATTATATTTCCGTTTTTCTCTTGATGCCCAATATTATAAATGACAATGTCCAAATAAGCATATCTATGCTGTTTCTTTGTTTACAACTGAGCTAAATTGGTGTCAGCAACGATATGTAATGATCAGTAATGATTAAACATTTAAGGGTCTTCATGATCAAAGCGATCATCTTGGCACTTCTTGTGACGTTCATTCATGAATTACCGTGTAGGGTCCGCTTAATATTCCAAGTTTTGTTTTGCTTTTACTACTTACCCCCTCACCGCTCCCCAACCAGGTCAGCAAATTTCCTCAAGGATCTCTACTCAAGATTTTGCAGTTTTAACTAAAACCCCTCGCTCAACACACCTAAAAGTCTCTATTTTTATTCTTTTGTTTTTATTTATTTTATTTTATTTATTTTTCTTTTCATCCTCCACACCTCTTTATGTCCATTATTTCACATTATTTATCCCTTTCTTCCAATCTCTCCTCGGGATATGTAGCATTTACTAATTCATAATAGCATATACTATACAGTAACAGTTGTTACCATTTATTTACTTAAGTTTAAGATCTTGTTACTTTGTTTACCCTGTTTATATAGTTTATTGCTCTTAATAGTTCAATATACTTACTGTTTATAGCTTCAATACGTTTATTCATCTTGTTTGTAATTTGTATCTAAATGTAATGTAACTTCCCCAATTTTCTATATCCTTTTGTATATTGACCGTTCTAGCCCTGAAGAAGACCTGCAAATTTTAGTCTATTTATGACCGCCACCTTGGACCATCTCCTTCCGCATTTTTATTTTATATATTTGGCCCTAATTTTTGTGTTGCATATAGAAGTCTACATACCTAATAACCCCAATGAGTGACCGACGGTTGGAAATAGACCAGTATTTAACAAGCATAAGCGGTTATCTTCTCTCTTTAAAGCTCTCAAATTAAGAGTGCACAATGCTTTGATAAAGCCATTTCTGATTTACGGCTGTGAGACATGGACCTAATCAGCACCCCAGAGTACTGAAAGATTTTAGAAAAAAATCCTTCGCACTATAACCGGAGCTATCTGGGATTGGAGTACTAACGCAGGAAGGAGAAGAGCCAATAAAGAACTGCTTACAGAAACTGGTCACTCAATATGTCATGATATAAAGGCACGGATTTTATGAAGAACTGCAAAGTCGGGTCGAAACATTGGCTTGAAATAAAATAGTTTTGCCACTATTTTAATCTATTTATGACCGCCACACCGGACCACCCCCTTCCTCTAAAATACAACGGTCAACTATTAAGTATTCGATAAAATAAAAATGTTTAAGATTTTTTTCAAAATGTTTAGCTTAAAAATGATTTGTATTAAAGAATTTTAAAAAACACTAAAAACGAATCTATCTTTCTTTTTCATATAAAAAAAAAAATCACTTTTCCTACGTTACTGGAATATCATCTTTCTATTTGGCAAGAAGAAAGAATGCCTGAGGAGTGGACATGGGGTATTATCGGTCCGCTCTACCAGAAGGGAGATCAGCTGGAGTGCAGGAACTACCGGGGTATTGTTCTCATCTCATCTGCTTATAAGTTACTCTCGAAGGCAGTGAATCAGCTGATGCGAAGGACGTGTTCTGAAATCTTCTCTCAGTTGTTGCCTATTTTTCAGCGGAATCTCTTTGATTATTTACTGAACAGTTGAAGTGTACACCAGAGCAGTTGTTATTTACAGTTTGCTGCATTTTTTTT